GTGGCAGAAATTAGGAAAGCAACTCCATTTGTAATAACCCCACAAAAAAATAAAATACCTAGGAAGAGTCTCATGGACTTTTCTGCCTGGGCTGGTTTTGAACTGCAATACTCATATTTCAGCCTCCTGAGTAGCTAGGATTACAGTAGGTAGATTATGTGTGCGACCTGGCACCTGGCCTGATTTCCTTTTTTTTTTTTTTCCTGGGTCCGGTCGAGGGGCCTGAACTCTGGGCCTGGGCGCTGTTCCTCAGCTCTTCAGCTCAAGGCTACAGCTCTACCACTTGAGCCACAGTGCCACTTCTGGCTTTTTTTTCTGCTTCTGTGGTGCTGAGGAATTGAACCCAGGGCCTCATGCATGCAAGGCAAGAGCTCTACCACTAAGCCACCTTCTCAGCCCCCTGATTTCCTTTTTAGTTACTGTTTTTCTTGGATTTCAGAAAATGCAGGAACCAGATGTGATGTGTAGCTATCCTCTTTGAGGGGTCTAAGTTTTTAAATTAATAGGATCAAAGGAAGGAATTCTACCTGTAAATAAAAGTATATATGAATGGGTGTGAATATGATAAATGCAGTTTATTTGCATGTATGAAATAGAACAATGAAACATGTTAAAATCGTTTTAAGGAAGGGAGAAAGGAGAGGAGGTTGATTGGAATACAGTGTGTATATGTGGAAATGTCACACTGCCTTCCCCCTCCCCCTTTGTACCACTAATAGTTTGCATCCTTATCTGGATCATCTCTCATTGCAAATGTTTGAGAAAGAAAAGCCTCTTTCTGTCCTAAAGGTTTGCTTTACTCTGGAGTAGCTAATGGACTGTGTTTGTTCTAGGTATATGAGTAGACCAGTGATGAGTGGGCCAGGACTTTATGACCCTACAACCATCATGAATGCAGATATTCTAGCATACTGTCAGAAAGAAGGATGGTGCAAATTAGCTTTCTACCTTCTAGCATTTTTTTACTACCTATATGGGTAAGTTCAAAAATAAAGCAAAAATGTGCTTTCACTTTGCTTCCTGAGACAGTAGTCCTCATGGTCTTAACACCTTAAAGTCTACCAGAAGAATTACTCAGTGTCTTGAGTTGAGGTAAGTGGGAATGACACTGTACACTCCAGCAGTAGTACATGGGCGTGCAGTCAGAGGCAGAAAGTTTGGTTAGGAGATATTACTTGCAGACCCACTCAATTGTTTTCCAAGGCAGTGATGGTATTAAGGCTGTGTGAGTTTGCAAAACATGTTTGTGTTTAGCTTCAGGGTCTGTCCAGAGATTGTATTTAAGTTTTTTCCTTATTGTGCTTTTTAAGCTATATGCACTGCCTTTTCTTTTCTGGTTTACTTGTTCTGAATGAGATGTATGGAGAAAAAGAAAAGAAATGGCTAATGCTATAGGGTGGTACAGTTATGGAGCTTTCTCCTTTAGTACTGATGGACTCCTCTCCTTATTCTAGGTTGGGTTTGTTTTTAGATTTGCTGCTATTGACATTCTTTACTATGTGACTGTTTCATAACTTGCAGAACATTTAGCAGCACTCTACCCTTTACCCCTAATATACTCTATCCCTAGTTGTGCCAGAAGTATTTCTAGATGTTGTCAGATGCCCCTGTAGGGCAAAAGTGCTGTCATTGAGAACCACTGGTATAGATACTTACTAAGCACAGTCAAATAAAAGGACACTTGTTACGTGTAGGGAAGTATAGAGTTAGAATTTTAATGGAGAGGGGTTTTTCTCATTTAAAATATTTAAAAAGAAAAGCTGTATAAGATGGAATCGTGAAGTAATTACGATTGTTTGTTAAAATTCTTTTAGAGAGTATAAGTGAAGTGAATATATAGTATACCAACAGACATGGTTCATATATGAAATAAAGGTAGTAGCTGGGCGTCGGTGGCTTATGACTGTAATCCTAGCTACTCAGGAGGCTAAGATCTGAGGATCTCGGTTCAAAGCTGGCCTGAGCAGGAAAGTCTGTGAGATTCTTATCTCCAATAAACCACTGGAAAACTGGAAGTGGTGCTGTGACTCAAGTGGTAGAACACTGGCCTTGAGCCAAAGAGCTGAAGGACAGCGCCTAGACCCAGAGTTCATGCCCCACAACTGACCAAAGGGAAAAAAAAAAGACATAAAGGTAATAAATAGGTTCTGAATGGTGAAATTCCATGTATCATTCTAGTTCCTGCTGGTTTTCACTTTTGCAGTTTTTAAAACAACTACCTAGAATAATGCTGGCATATAATAGATAGTTAAAATGTATTTTGGGTGGGGGAAGGACAAATGAATGCTAAAGTTGGAAATGTGTAGTTGTGGGGAGATGTTTACCAGGGTATTGTGAAACTGAGACATTTGCTGTTACAAGGTTTTCTATTTCCATTTAGAGATGTGGGCATGCTTTCTGAGGGATACCCCATGCCTTTCCCATACCACTGTTTATGTATGGTTTCCCTCAGTATTTGTAGGTCTAAATCAAATGCTGGCTGTTTTTTGCTTTTTGTTTGTTGCTTGTTTGTACTTTTTTTTTTGGTTGGTTCTGGAACTTGAACTCTGGGCCTGGGTGCTGTCCCTCAGATCTTCAGCTCAAGGAGAGCACTCTACCACTTGAGCCACAGTGCCTCTTCTGGTTTTCTGGTGGTTAATTTGGAGATAAGAGTCTCATGAAGTTTGCTGCCCAGGCTCACTTTCAACCGTGATCCTCAGATCTCAGTCTCCCTGAGTAGCTAGGATTACAGGCATGAGCCATGCGTACCTGGCTTGGTTTGTACATTTTTTAACATGTACACTTTTTAACCTTGAACGGGAAAGGTTCTGAGCAGTAGCTGCTAATAAAACCATTCTTCAGTTGATCATTCTCTTCTCTAAGAAATGGGAATGACAACAGTACCTGCCTCCGAGGACTGTCTGCTGGGAGGAGTAAGCATAGTAGTGCCTATGAAGGGCCTAAGGGCCTAGCACAAAGTGAGCTCTCCAGAGAAGTTCTATTATTATTAAGCTCTGATCCCCATTAAGCTTTCAGCTGTGCTGTTCTACTTGCTAACATTGGAAAGGAAGTCGGGGACAACTTCAGCACATGCACTGAGCCAAGTCCTGTGATGGCTAAAAGTCCATAAATGCAGATTTAAAGTTACAACTGCGAACTTGTCATTAGTTTTTTCATTTTCATTGATGCTATGATACCATATACTAGTTTGCCATATTCAGCAGGCTCAACTTTTTGTGCTCTTTGTTTTTATAATTAGGAATGTTTGAATTAACAGCTTCTCTTCTCTTTTCAGCATGATCTATGTTTTGGTGAGCTCTTAGAACAACACACAGAAGAAATGGTCCAGTTAAGTGCATGCAAAAAGCCACCAAATGAAGGGATTCTATCCAGCAAGATCCTGTTTCCAGGAATAGCCTATGGAAATGATCTGTTTCTTTTAAAAAATGACTCCTTATTTTTTAAATGTTTCCACATTTTTTGCTTGTGGAAAGACTGTTTTCATATGTTATACTTGGATAAAGAATTTAAATGGAATTACGTATAAATTAATATAAAATGATTACCTCTGGTATTGACAGGTTTGAACTTGCACTCCTTAAGGAACAGCCATAATCCTCCAAATGATTGCATTAATTACTGATGGTCCTTAGTCCATTGGAACCTTTTGTTTATAGGAACTTGTAGGGCTCTTTTGGTTTTATTGAAATGCCATTTTGGTTTTATTGAAATGCCATCTAATAAATTAGCTGTAGATATCAGGTGCTTCTGATGAGCTGAAAATGTGTATCTGACTTGTGGAAAACTATCTAGTTTTCCTCATTTATCGTGTAGATGATTATATATGGATACATTTACAAAAATAAGAAGAATGGGATTTTTTCCCTTTGACTTGAATATTATTCCTGTATATTGCATGAATGAGAGATTTTCCATATTTCCATCAGAGTACTTACTATACTTGCTTTAATTCTTAAGCATAAGCGAACATGATATAGAAATATATACTGAATTACTTGTGAAGAATGCATTTAAAGCTATTTTAAATGTGTTTTTATTTGTAAGACATTACTTGTTAAGAAATTGGTTATATTATGCTTACTGTTCTAATCTGGTGGTAAAGGTATTAAGAATTTGCAAGTACTTTAGGTTTTCAAAGCGAATTGAGAGAGAATTGTATAACCATCTTGCTGTTCCTTTAGTGCAATACAATAAAACACTCAAATTAAGATTCATTTTCAGTGCATTGTTTCAAAGATTACACACAGCTATTTCTCACTTGCTCATCCAATAATAAGACATATTACTGTCCTTTTAAAAGGTAGAGTATTACTTTATTTTTTTCCTTAAATATACCCTAATAGGATCTGAAATGGCCAACCACAATCTATGTTACCATAGGAGAAGAATTTTTACTGTTGATAGTACAGCAGCATTTCTCCCACTAATTTCAAAAGTGATTGTGGCACTTGAAATACTTTTGAGTTTTTTCTTTTTGGTTAAGGTAAAGTGACTCATAATTTGAGTTTCTGCTGTTGCTTGTGAGGCAGTCAAAGTAAGGCTTGCATGTTTTATAAGCATTCCCGTCCTTTATTTAAGATGAGGAATTCAGGGCACTTGAAAACATAACTGGCTCAGATGTTTAGCAAAGGATCAAAGGAAAAAATATAAATTCACATAGTGAGTGATCAAGGGAGTTCATAGATGCATTTGTAGGGGGTCTTGTTCTAAGAACTTCTTGTATTGTTGTTTTATTCTCTACTAGTGAAAAAATGCTTGAAATGATGCTTCCCTAGGGAAGAGATAATACTGTCTTAGGGAGAAGAGATGTTACCGTCTGGGATTGGGTAACTGGGATGAATACACTCAAGAAGAAATTATAGAACCTAAGGAGAAATTGTTCAGACATTTTAAAAGGAAGGCCTGTAATTTATAGTCTAGGAACACCTAGAGGGAACTGACTGTTCTTCAGGTTAGGCTGTAAATTATTTATTGAACATTTGCTAGGCAGTCAGTTTCTATCCTATCTATATCAGCAGCTACTCTAATTTTCCGTTCTCATTCACAAGTACTGTTGATCATGACAGACCTACCTGGTCCTGTCAACAGTCCTGATTGATTTCCTAAGTTTTTGTATTCCTGTTCTTTCAAAGAAGACATACTTCATGATTTTCAACAACCATCCTGTTAATCTATTCTTGAATTTTCTCCAACATCAATGCCAAGTTTATGGGCTGGAAGCCACATTCTCATGCTTTCAAAATCAGATTCCTCCCACATTGACAATTAGGTTCACCCATCTCACTTGTAGGTTATTAACTCCTAGGTATGTCATTAAGTAGCTAAATATGCTTATGCCTACTCATTTTTGCCTTTTTAGTGTCAGACAAGTAAGCATAAACAAAGTACTTGCATCTGACAGTATCCCACGAACTCTTTCCTTGGCTCTGAATTTAACCTGTTCCCTATGTTAATGTATATGGGATGGCCCTCGTCTTTTGTCATTCCTGGAAGTTCAGCTGAGGCAGTTAGCCTGGTTAGCCATAGTCAGCCTTTTCAATTTGTCACACGCTCACATTGCGCAGTGGATAGTTTATTTAAGCACACTTCCTTTTTACTGTACTTTTGATATGTACTACATTTTATCTATCAGGTCTGTAGCTCTCAGAAACCATTTCCCCATTTTGTGCTATCTTATTTCATCTAGTATAACTCTGTAGTTCTGTTTATACCAACAATTACTGCTATGGATTACTACAGATTCTCCTGAATTAAAATCTTAGATAATAACGCCTGCTTCGTAGTTACTCAGTTGAGTAATACTGTATCATGGCAGTGGGCCCCTTGAGTACTTAGGAGCTATAGGGGTGGAAACTATTAAATACCTTTTTCTGAAATGACATCTGAGGTTTTCACCATGGTTAACTGATACTCTTACTCATCATCCCAGGTTAGGGGAGAATTTGGTCCTGGACTACAAACTGCTAATTTGTTTGAAATTTGAATTACTTTTCATGGGAAAGGGAAATAATAGATAATCGTTGGCTTGTATGAGTATTAGTAAGCAAAGCTTCATCAAGTACACCTGGAACAGCCAAGCTTTTCAGTCAAATGCCTGGGAATGATCAGGTATATAGCTGTCACACAGCTCTTCTGTATTCCTCAAACTATGTATTCTGAAGATAGGTCTAATGCATAAATAAAACTGCTTTGAAATTGGCAAAGACTCTGGGTATAGTGCAAGTGGTAAGAGCAGGCCATGAGTTCTATCATTCCCCTTCTCCCTTAAAAAGGGTGGCAAAATGTTTTCTTTGATACAACATTTCTCCAATTATGTGTTCATAGAGTACTTTGGCCATGGAGCAACTGATGATTTTTGTGTCTCTCTTCTCCCCTTCAGGGGTCAACTTTTGATTTAAGTTGTAAATATATCATAATACTATTTCAAACCAATTCAAATAATGGTATGTATTAAAAAGTACATATCCAATTATTTGTCATTTAGTATCCACAAATACACATCTCTCAATTGTGTAACTGTTGGTCAGAAATTGTGATGACAAAAATATTCTAAAGCAAGACTCATTTTAGAGGGAATGGAAAAGTAACAATCCCTTGACTGGCATTTGAAACTACTATATTAGTCTCAAATAATCATTGATCTGTGGATCAGACTAGCAGCTGTTGAATCTGTCTCTAGTATTGTGGTTTAGGAAATGGTTCTGAATAAGATCCCAGAGTGAGGCTAAGAGGAAAAGTATGGCTCTGTTTGTGGATACATTAAACAATTTCTACATTGACTAAAGTTCCTAAAGCTAAGTGTCTAAAAGGAGTAAGTGCTGCTTCTTCAGTTTGCTTTGGGAAGTAGTACCAACCATGTAGGGTGTTTAGTCTGGGGTCAGAGTGTGTTTTGTCTTGCATCAGTTTAATGCACATTGGAGAAGACCTAGCATCTTGATACACAAAGGAATGACTTGCATCTCGTATTCCCATTTTGTGTTGTACAATGCTTTTTCTAAGTAAGTTTCTTTGGTTACCATGTTAATGTATTCTGGAGAAGAAAAATGGACTGATGACTAAACTCTTAACAACACTGTTAAGAGTAACATAAAATGCAGTTTGCTATCTTTGCCCATGGTTTGTTAAATCTAAGCTTGATGGTGCTGTTCAACTGTCCAAAGAAAATGCACTTAAGTAGTCCTATTTCTTAGAGCTTGCTTATTTTGCTTTTGTATATTTAATAAAAATAATCTCAAGTATTTCCTTGTGTAGTTTATGATAATGGTTCAATCAGTGTGTTAATTTCAAATGCAGCTAACTGGCTTGTGTATGACCAGGATTCTAGACTTTTTTTCTGCCTTCCTCAGTCCCACTGTTTTTGGAGATGTCCACAGGTAAGCAGAGGAAATACTTTTCATAAAACATTGGAATTAGTTATTAAATGTTACTAGAAAAGTTTATTTCAGGGGTAATTCCCTAGTTTTCTCTGATATGAAATTACTGATTTTTTCCTGTATACTTGATACTAAAAATTTAGTTAAACATTTTGGATCTAGAAGGCTTAGCACTTATGAAGTCCCCAAATAGCATGAGTAATTGTTTGGAGTGTTCTCTAAAGAAATTCAAGTGGTTCCTCAGCAAGAAGTAGGGCCAAGGAAGGTTTTTAATCATCTTATAGGTATTCAAATGAATTACTTTTGAGTCTCCAGCCTAATAGTAATATCCAGCTGACAAATGGTGCACCCTGTACCAGTAGCTGAGAGATCCATGGGACCAGTATGTGATAGACTAGTGCGATCTCTTAAAACAAGTGGCTTGGCTCTAATACGACAAAAAAAATAGGGGGTACTTACACAAAACCTTATACATTGCTATGTCATATGCTAACTAGAACAAAGCAGAATGTGGTAATAATAAAAATATGAAAGTATTTCCCATCTTTTCTCGCGTGCTCCTGTGTGTGCGTGTGTGCGTGTGCGCGCATGAGCTCAGCCTGGGTACTATCCCTGCAGCTTTTGAGCTCAAGGCTAGCATGCTACCACTTAGCTTCACTTCTGGCCTTTTTGAAACTCTCCATCCTCAGATGTCAGCTTCCTGAGTCACAAGGATTATACGTGTTAGCCACCATTGCCTGGCTTTTTTTTTTTTTGGTGTTGGTCCTAGGGCATTGCTTAGGGCCTAGGAGCTGTTCCTGAGCTTTTTTGCACAAGGCTAGGTCTCTACCACTTGAGCCATAGCTCCACTTCTGGCTTTTTGGTGGTTAACTGGTGATAAGTCTCACGGATTTTTCCTGCCCTGGCTGGCTTTGGAACCACAATTCTCAGATCTCAGCCTCCTGAGTAGCTATGATTACAGGCATGAACCACTGGTGCCTAACAGGGCAGTACATTTCTAAAAGGAAAACTACCACTTTACCCCTTCTTTGAGAGATGGAATCAACACAGTGAATTTTGTCAATAAAAACTTTAGGAATATCTGCACATAAACATTTACATTCAAGGAGATATCATGAGTTGTCTTATTTCTGTATAGATTATACTAGAGGAATTTTAAATTTCAGACATGGTCATATATAAGCTATTTGAAATTCGTCATCTTGACACAGATCTTGACAGTGACTCTCTTGTTGATAGATAGGAGGCTAATTTGTCCCGGAACTCATGAAGATAATTATATTGCTGAAAAAAAGTAAAGAGACATTGAAGTACCACGTAGAAAACTAGTTGCCATAGTAGGTATCAGGTATATCTATCTATAGATAGATATATATACACACACATACATATATATATATTCATTTGCTAAGAACAATTTTACATCTTTGGTAAGAAGCATTTGCAACCTAGGGCAGTTTTATCCTGAAATAAAGTTGTCTACAGTTGAATAACTATTGATGTTAAAATCTCTAAAGATCTGAAGGTAGCATAAAATTCAGATGAAAATGTTATAATTCTGTAGAAGCCTTTCTACTGGCAGGGCTAAATAAGATTAAAAGTAAATAAGGGCATTATTTTTTTTGATTGTTGCTAGTATTTTTTTATTGTAAAAGTGTTGTACAGAGGGGTTACAGTTATATGAGTAGGGTAATGAGTACATTTCATAGCAAGCATTGTTTCCTCCTTTATTTTTCCCTACCATCACTTCCCTCCCTCCCCAACTCCTCCCGCCCCCCCCCTCCCCAGGGCATTATTTTTAATAGCATTTTTTTCCCTTCAGAATAGGGAGGAGGGAATGTCTTCAGTAGTAATTAACAGTAGCATGCTCAAGAAAATCTATTTCTCAATTTATAGAAGCCCTAGAGTGCTTTTTGTGATCACACAATCTTTGGGACAATTTTCATAGACATTAAAAAAATAAACATTAATCTTAGCAGATAGGCAAAATAAAAGAAGGGAATGATTTGGAATTTGAGTAGCTTCCCAAAGGATCTGGTCATCTCATTTCATCCCAATCCCATGCCGGCCCCGTACTGCTAACCTATATTAGCAGTAGGTTAAAGCCTGTTGGACATGGAATGCCCAGGGTAATCAGCTGCAGTCCATACTAATGCAAGCTTCATTTTTTTCCAGTATTAGCAGTATAAAATGTGTGTTCATACACATATTTCACCATGTGTTTCAAAGAGAAAAATCTGAAGCATCATTTGATTTTTAACATAATAACTTGTCCTTTTAAAAATTGTTCAGTGGCTCCTATATGGAATGTTTTGTGAATGACCTGACTTAAATAGCCTGGAGAATCATTTAGCAGTAATTGTAATGATTCACTGAACATGTTATCCCAGGGAAGATAGACTCTTAAAATCATCTCTGCCTAAAGGCCAAGATTCTTTTAACACCCACTCTTTTGTGTGATCCAGTGGAAAGCTGGACAGGATACTTGAGGAAGGAAGGCACACTAGCTCTATAGGCCTAGAAGTAAAGGGAAACTGCAGAGCTGTGTTGGTAACAATCTACAATAATATCCTTGGCATTGCTCTGTGCTGTTTTTTTTTTTTTACATATTTTTATTATCTTTTAAGTAGTTGAACAAAGAAGTTCCCATTCTACAAAACAGTGTATGAGTACAAGGTAGCTCCGTGCTGTTTCTGAAGTGTTCTCAGGAGTCAGCTTTGTGAGCCACAATCATTTGGCACATTGTGGGACAGACATATGGTTCTACTGCTGCCCACAGTTACCTGCCTGTACTGATCATTCTGTATGGCCCATAATGAAGTTATAAATGTCCAAATGGCCCTTGGCAGAAAAACGGTTCTTCGTCCCTATGTGGAAGATGCCACATTTGTTATCCACAGCAGAAAAGGCAATGAGTACTGCTTTACATTTAAGAAAAAACCAAGCACACCACTAATCCAGCTTTGTTAAGTGATTCAGTGGCATAGTAGGATCTTAGAACTTTCTGAAAAAAACATCTTCCCAAGAAAGTACCAAGTTTATAGCAACCACCTGTCCCATTCTGATTGAGAGGATCTATTCCCAGAACTGATGGGCAAAAACTGAACAGTAGACCCTGGAAGTGGAAGGTGGGAAGTTAAAGTTTTTTCACCATTTTGCTTAAAATACTGTGGGCTTTTGCAGACTTGTGAGTTCTGTTTTAAGTGTAAATTAAAAAACAGGTGTGTCTGAAGTAAGCATGTGTTGGATTTTCATTGTGGTGCCCTGGCTGTATATTATACTATCCTACCAAGCAAACAGGAACTTTTGAGCTCCTTACTTTAATAGTCTGGATCGCCCCAGATCCTCTTACATCTCGAAGGCTGTCTATGGCTTGTTGTGGTGAGACTGTGTCAGACAGGTACAAGAGGAGACAAGCGGCTACTAAGAGAATATGACAAAAAAAAATTGTTAGGAAAAACGGTGATAGTGTAGGGCATTTGATGTTCAGACTTGTCACTTTAGTATTACAGTTACAAATGAATCAAGATTGGGGGCTTTTTTAAAAAAAATTGTGCTTCTGGTATTTAAGTGACTGATTGATCTAAAGTTTTAACATAGTCCATTCTGATTGCTTTATTAAATACAATTTATATACTATACATTTCATTTAAAGTGTGCACTTCAGTGAATTTTAGTATATTTACAGATAATGTAAAATTAATATCATAAGTTTTAAGTATTTATGAAGAAGTCCCAACTTAGTGTGGTGGTGTGGTAACTACTTGTAGTCCCAGCACTTGGAAGTCAGCAGTAGAAGGATTGACAGTTACATAGCAACACCTTTCTCAAAGCCCTGCACAGTTTCACTAACATCCTATCCTATTACCCATCTCCTTAGTCTCTGCACCAAACAACCATCGATCAACTTTTTGGTTCTATAGAGAACAACTGTTGGGGATTCTGCATGTAAGCGGAGTATGTGATCTTTTGTGACCTTTTTCACTTGTTCAAGGTTCATATTGTGATGTATCCTTTCATTTTTATATCTAAATAATCTACCACATTATGTATGTCTATCCATGGATGGACATTTAGGATGTTTATTTTTTTGACTAATTAGTTAATACTTGTGTGCAAGTTCTGTCTTGTGTCAGGGTTTCATTATGTAGCCCAGGCTGGCCGTGAACTCAGTCTTTGCCTTTGTCTCCTGAGTGCTGAGATTACAAGTGCCATCATGCTTAGCTGTTTACAAGGTTTTGTGGGAGTATATATTTCACTTTTTTGGTCTATATTCCTATGAGTGGAATTTCTGTGTTATATAACATGTTTCACTGCTTGAAAAGTAGACTCATAGTCTGAAGCAGTTCCATTTTATATTCCCACCAGTGATGTGTAAGGGTTCCAGTTTCTCTGCATCCTCACTGATGAATATATATTATGTTATATATTTTTCTTTTTTTCCCCCCTAGTACTGAGATGTGAGCTTACTGATACCACTGAGCATACTAGATCCTGTTTTTCACTGTTTTTTTTTTTTTTTTTGCGGGAAGTAGGGAGGAAGGGAAGGATCTCACTTTCCACTTGGTTGTATACTTGAGCTGATCTAGCGCTACTCTACATTAGGCTTTCTGTAATCACTGGGATCACAGGCATGTGCTATCATGTCCAGCTTCTATCAGCGATAGAATCTCACAGACTTTTATGTCCAGGCTGGCCCTGTACTCCGATCTTCCCAAGCCCAACTTCCTAGGTAGTTTTTGATAATAGGCAAGTGCCACTGCACCCAAATGTAGGTGGAGAGGGGAATCTTACTAACTTTTCTGCCTGTGCTGGCCTTTCACTATGATCTTTCTGTTCTAGCCTCCCAACCAGCTAGGTTAAAGGCATGAACTATAGGTATCTGGCTCAAAAGAAAAAAAAATTTTTTAATCACAGCCATCTTAGTGGGGATCAAGTACTCACTATGTATTTTTGATTTGCATTTCGCTGATGGCTAAGGTGTTGAGCATTTTTTTCATGTACTTGCCATTTGTGCATTTTGTTTGGAAAAAAATATTTAGATCCTTGAGACTGGGAATATGGCTTAGTGGTAGCTTGCCATTTGTGCATTTTGTTTGGAAAAAAATATTTAGATCCTTTGCTCAATAAAAAAAAATTGAGACTGGGAATATGGCTTAGTGGTAGAGTGCTTGCCATTTGTGCATTTTGTTTGGAAAAAAATATTTAGATCCTTGAGACTGGGAATATGGCTTAGTGGTAGAGTGCTTGTCATTTGTGCATTTTGTTTGGAAAAAAATATTTAGATCCTTTGCTCAATAAAAAAAAATTGAGACTGGGAATATGGCTTAGTGGTAGAGTGCTTGCCTAGCATGCATGAAGCCCTGGATTTGATTCCTCAGTACCACATAAACAGAAAAAGCTGGAAGTGGTGCTGTGGTTCAAGTGGTGGAGTGCTAGCATTGAGCAAAAGAAGCTCAGGGATAGTGCCCAGGCTCTGAGTTCAAGCCCCAGGACTGGCAAAATAAAATAAAAAAATGAGCTGTCTTTTTATACTGAGTTATATAAGTACTTCATATAATCTAGACACAAGTCCTCTATCCAATACATGGTTTTGCAAATAGTTTCATTTGTTTTGTCGGCAATCTTTTCACTTTAATAGTGCCCTTTGAATGAACAAGTTAATTTTGATCTTGTTTAGCACTGAAAGGAATAAGTTCCTCTAGTGAGACATGTTACCAGTTTTTTTCATAGCAAAGTTTTTGGAAAAGTTTTGAAGTTAACATTTGGTAAATAATTAGCCTTTATACTTATGCTATCCATTATTTAGAAGTTACTGTCAGATTCATACATCCATATAGGGAGTATTAGCAAAAACAATGCAGGTGCTAAGACTTTTAAGTGGTGTTTTGTAGAATCCTCTACAACAAAGCTGAAAATACCTCCTGCTGCCATGATGTTCAGGGCCTTAAGTAATCCTTTGTTTTGGCAAATATTGAGTTTTGTCTCAATTCGATATAAAGTGAGCCTATAGCCAGGGGTTTGCCTACTTGGAGGTTAGAGGAATAATGAGAAAACAGTTCTTACCAAGACAGGATCTTCCAAGGCCTCCATAACAGCTGAAAGGAAAATACAGTTTTGAAGTTTATACATTTTTCTTCCATTCCAAGTTAGTCACTTGCACTTCCTGCTAGGTATCTCTAATGTTCAGCATAGTGCCTCACTTACAAAGATTGTTTAATTAACCAAAAGCCAGGGGTGCTTATTTGTGCAGAAGTATTCTGAATACCTCTAAGGGGCAAGGCAGGGAATGCCTTTTATTGCCCCCTTCATGTTCCAGATCCACAGTGAAGAATGAAGCCTGTTATTAATCATAAGAATTAGACTTCACCAACTGCCTATTTTATTTTCCTGTGTTTTAAAACAAAACCTTAATTATGGAGTAAATAGTATCCATACAATAGCCCTTATCTTGAAAACCTGTTCATAGTAGTAGACAGAGGCTTTGAGCAGTGAGTGTGTGGGTCCTGGCTCTGCCCTTTGCTAGGTAGGCAAAGCAAGAGGGTTCTTTTGGCTCTCTGGGCTTTGCCTTCTTACCTATCATGGGGCTAGCAGTAGACCTATGCCTGCAGGAGGGCTGAATGTGGCAGCATTTGTAGAGGGCTTACAATAGAATGTGGTACAGCTGAAAAGATGAATGTTGGCTGTTATTATCTAGCATTATGAAGAAATGAGCAAAATTAGGTTTTCCAGAAAAATGAGAATTTAAGTTGCAAAAAATCAGTCATTTAAATAATGTTCAAGAATCCCTTCATATCTTCTGACTTAGAAGATTTAGTACTAATGACCTAATTTAGTACTGATGACTTATCATGAACTCAATTACAGTAGACTATTGTAGGTTAATCTATAGATATGTATATGAGAGGATGTGAGATAAAAGGCAAATAGGTACTGACTCCAGAATTTCACAAAGTGTCCCAAATGTAAGCTTGTTTCATAGAGATCTGGATCTACCATATACATGTAGAGAAATGTTGGTCACTTCAGTAGGTTTCTTTTAGATTAATACTACTTTACACCTTGGGGTACTTTCACCAGCCGCTTAATGAATTCCCATTCATCTTCCAAACCCAGCTCAAATGTCATTTCCTGAAATGTCTGTGTTCCTATAGAACCATGACTGTCCTGTGCGGTATGCTTTTATTGCACTTATATGTAGTGCGGTTAGGATTGGATTTCTTGTAGTTTCAGTGTTTGATCCACAGTAGCTGATACAGGTTCAGTTCTGTTCTTTGAAAGATTATGCTGAGAGGCAGGGGCATGGCTCAGGTGGTAAGGTTCTTGTGTATCAAGGGCAAGGCCTGGAAGTTCAAAGGGCATGCTGAGATCCTTGTCCCAGGTACCTATGCATGTGACCTTATTCAGAAATAGATCTTCGCAAATTTAATTGAATGAGGTCATTGGGATGGGTGCTAACCCGATATACTATCAGTGTAAGATGAACACATATGAAGATAAAAGACAACCTGGAGGGAGTCCCTTGATGACAGAGGCAGACTGGAGTGATGCAGCTACAAGCTAAGGAATGACAGGATAGATAAACACTACTAAAAGTTCGGGAGAGGCAAAGAGGGATTCTACACAGAGTCTCAGATCATGGCTCTGTTGACACCTTGACTTTGAACTTCTAGTCTCTAGAACTGGAGGAGAGTTAATTTCTGTGTTTTATAAGCCATCTACTTTGTTCTCCTGTGTTATAAGAGCCCAAGGAAACAATGTAATAACAGTAGGTAAACTGTTCACTGCTTTTTATAAAGGGTGGAAAATTCCTGGGCAGAACCAGTGAGTGCTGGCAGGGAATAGGACAATGGAAAGGCTACTAGATCCTGTTCTAAGGTAGGCATTGTGGCTGTCTAGCATCGTGAACACCTAACAACAGTATATATATATATAGAAAATCATCTTTATCCAAATAAAGTAGTAATTGTAAGAGAACTTTGAAAACTCTAAAACAAGAAAAATCCAAACATTAGAACTCTCCTCGCCTTTTGTTGTTGTTGTTGGGTGTGAGGCTTGAACTCTTGGCCTGGGCACTGTCCCTAAGCTCTTCAGCTCAAGGTGAGCACCCTACTGCGTGAGCCCCAGTGCCGCTTCCAGTTTTCTAGTGGTTAACTGGACATAAGAGTCTCTGGGACTTTTCTGCCTGGGCTAGCTTTGAACTGTGATCCTCAGATCTCAGCCTCCTGAGTAGTTAGGATTACAGGCGTAAGCCACTGGTACCCAGCCTCCTGGCCTTTTTTAAATGGGACCTGAAATGTTCTAGTTAGGGAAGAGCACTTGTCCATCTTGTTTATATTCTGTTCAAACACTGGGGCATCTAATTTGCTGAACCGGCTAGAGTAAAATTTGTTAAGATCTCTTCAATGGAACTAGCTTGATCTCTGGAAACTTTTCAATAGGTGTTGCTTTCAAAAATTTATTTGGAGAAAAACCCCACAAAAACCTTAGAACTGTTTCACAAAAGAAGCCTAAAAAATGGGGAAAACTTTTTCACTAGCTGCATCTAATATTATTTTGTAAGTATAGACAACTATATCTTCTGAAATTTTATCCTTATAATTAGAACTAGATGAGAGATTATACTTTTCCCTAGAGAAAGAATGGAAAATGTCAGCTGCAGGATGACTTCTAATTCTTCATTGCCTATTCTGCAAGCTATTGCTTCTGTGTATCAAGTTAGCTTGATCACGTTGTTATATCACTGAAGTCCCTTGTACTGGTGGTTTTCCCTCAGAACTGGCACTACTGGCATGAGATTCCTCAAACTAGATTTTTTTCCCCCCAGTTCTGGGGCTTGAACTCAGGGCCTGGGTACTGCCCCTGAGCCTCTTTGTGCTCAAGGCTAGGGCTCTACCACTTGAGTCATAGGTACCACTTCTGAGTAATTTCTTGGAGATAAGAGTTACACAGGTACTTTTCTTCCTGGGCAGGGTTTGAACTGAGATCCTTAGATCTCAGCCTCCTGATTAGCTAGGATTATAGGTGTGAGCCACCAGCACCTGACTCTTAAGCTGTAGGTTTAAGGAGAGATGTTGGCTGAAATTACCCTTTCACTAGGTTCCTTAAGACTGAGGTGGCTACTGGTATAGCTTGTATATCTCTACCACAAAACAATGGCCCCTTAGGTATTAGTAGTTGGAAGTACCTGCCCTTGTTCCAACGCATAAATGGCTTATAGGGATACAAACTGAAAAACATTAACAGTGAAAGACAGACACTTGCTCTGCATGTCTGCCTTCTGGCAGAGCATTTATTGTTAATTATCCTAATCTTTGTGGTGCTCGAATCCACTGCCCATGACTACTCACTGCTACTTCCTCCAAGCCTTAACTTATTTTAGTTGATTATAAACATTCAGATCAGCAACTTGTATTTTTGTAGCCACCAACAAATAATGAGAGGCCTATTTCATTGTGGTAGAAAAGTTAGATATTAAATGTAAATTTCAAGTCATAGTTTTGCTCATTACTTAGTGATATTTTTTCCCTGTGTGTTTTGAAAACAATAATTGACTGCTAATAAAAGCAACTAAGCAAGTGATAGGCTAACAGATATTAGCAAATAATAGTATAGTACAAGAATAAGGCCCCCATCTTTGTTGGTGACAGTACTTGTTTGTGGGCAGTAAGTTGTTTTCCCAAACTGCCACTAAAAGTCAAAAACAAAAGGAAAAAAGAAAAACAAGCTTGCTTTTTTCTTCTAAACATTTCTAGTCTCCGTGTGTTCTGTCCTTCCTCTTGACAATCACGGTGGTTCTATGAGTGCTGTCCCTGTATCAGATGTTGTACATGATACCTTTCTAATCCTTTTGACAGAAGTAGGAGGTAGGAAGTAACTGAACAAGGAGACATCTCTTGGGTAGCATATGGAGAAAAGGAGAACATACTGTATTAAGGTTTTGCGGTTGTTTTTGAGGCAGATTGCAAGCTCCTCCATTATTTCCCAGCACCTGTCTATGTCAGGCGTCCCTCCATCTGGGATCGGATGGTGATGAGTGATAATTCCATACTGCTGGTAGAGGTCCAAAAGGTTTGGGACTCTATATTTTGACAGTTCCCCTCTGGTGCAGAAAACAAATATGTCCTGTATACCATAGCTCCTTAGTTCTTCTGTCAACAGACCAAGATACACACAGACATACACATCAGACATGACAAATGTAAACATGATCAAGTAGATAATAGGTGCTGACATTCTTAAGCCTCACTAATAACAGGTGATAATTTGTATATGTTGTAATGGCTATTGAGAACATCTGAACCCATAGATGATTAGAATTAAACCACACTGATTTGTAAGTCAAATGCTTTCTACTCGATATCAAGTCAATTATATTGCTGTTCTTGCATAAAAAGGCAATAAATGCTGCTTTAAAATAAACTGTTGAGAAGGAATGATAGCACATTTAAAATTTTTTCCCTCACAAAATCAAGTTTGCTGGTTTACTATTCGGCTGCTTGTTTTCATGTAAGCATGGCAGGGCTAGGGCTCTTTCATTTTTCCTCATATCTGCACTCTGCCACACCACTGGGTATTTAATTTTATGAACTAGGGCTCTCAACAACCATTAATTCTATTAAATTTACTTGGCTTAGCTATTTTCTTTGCAACCATATGAGCTATGAAATATGCTACAGGAATTCTATACTCTAGAACTTCCTTGTGGCAGTATTCTCAGTGAAGTATATGGATTAAAGCAAATAATTCAGGCTGATCTCGAAGCTCTCTATCCAAGGACATTTTGTATAGTCCCTCCTTCCCTTCTTCTGTTTTAATTTAGGGTCTCATGCTTGCTCAGCTTGTTTGTTCGCCTAGCTCTGTACCACTTGAGCCATGCCTCCAGCCTAGGTTTTAGTGCCCTTGCTGTATTTGTAAAGATTTTTCTGCCTCATTCACATCCATCATGACAGGAAATTTCCATTTGGAGAACATTTAAATAGTAAATAAAATACAATTTAAATAATTGGTTCAAGACCAGTTTTGTACATTTTGGAAAATCTATTTTGAGAAAAAAATGTCTTTTCTATCAAAAGGCTTGAACTCTGGGCCTGGGCGCTGTCCCTCAGCTCCTCAGCTCAAGGCTAGTGCTCTACCATTTGAGCCACAGCACCACTTCCGAGGTTTTCTGAGTGGGTTATTGGAGATAAGAGTTTCACAGCCTTTCCTGCCTGGGTTGGCTTTGAATCACGATCCTCAGATCTCAGCCTCCTGAGTAGCTAGGACTATAGGAGTGAGCCACTGGCGCCCGGGAAATTAAGAAATCTTATGCAGAGTTCCTTTTGAGCTGGTGTCCTTATTCCTGTGTGACACTGCAACATCCTGGGCTATTTCTAATACTACCTATTTAGTATATTCTATAAAAGAAGTTGCTCTTTTTTCCTCCCTGGTTGTGGGGCTTGAACTCTGGCCCTAGGCGCTTTCCCTCAGCTCTTCAGCTCAAGGCTAGCGCTCTACCACTTGAGCCACAGCTGCACTTCCGATTTTCTGGTGGTTTATTGGAGTTAAGAGTCTCATGGACTTTCCTGCCCGGGTTGGCTTCGAACTGTGATCCTCAGATCTCAGCCTCCAGAGTAGCTAGGATTACAGGCATGAGTCACCAGTGCTGGACTGAAGTTGCTCATTTAAAAAAAAAAAAACTCTTAAAAATGTTTTTTTTTTTGCGATGAGATCTTGAATGGAATTTAAGATATAAAACATTGAGACCTGGACAATGGCAGTTCAAAGCCAGCCCAAGCAGAAAAAAAGTCCCCAATTCTCCATTTCCAAAATAACCATGAAAACTCTGGACTGGAGGTGTGGCTCAAGTGGTAGAGTGCCAGCAGAGCAAGCAAGCTGAGTGGGCAGCCAGTATTGTTCTCCAGTAAAATAAAATAAATAGTAATGTAGTAATGGTCAACTCAGGTATTGTCCTGTTTTAGATTTTTAGGGGAAGGAAAAAAAGTATACTAACAAACTGATGTTTCAAAACAACCAGAAAAAAATTAAGATATAAAAAAATCTGCCAGGTGCCAATGACTCACACCTGTAATCCTAGCTACTCAGGAGGCTGAGATCTGAGGATCGCAGTTCAAAGCCAGACCAGGCAGGAAAGTCCATGAGACTCTTACCTCCAATTAACCACTAGAAAACCGGAAGTGGCACTGTGGCTCAACTGGTAGAGTGCTCACCTTGAGCTGAGGAGCTGAGGGACAGTGCCCAGGCCCAGAGTTCAAGCTCCACAACTGACAAAAAAAAAAAAGAAGAAAAATTATATATATATATATATACATACATACATATATATATATATATATATATATACTGATCAGAATCAAGCAATACATACATTTTAATTTTCTCTATCTTAATGATGGTGGGAATAAGTAGATGAGATATTCCAGACCATTCGTAATATAATAGTTTGAAAAACCACATTTGTTAATATTACACAGTTTGTAAATTCCTCATTGGAGTAGATTATGAATTTTTTTTCTTTTTTCCTTTTTTTTGGCCAGTCCTAAGGCTTGAACTCAGAGCCTGGGCACTGTCCCTGAGCTTCTTTTGCTCAAGGCTAGCACTCTACCACTTGAGCCACAGTACTACTTCTGGCTTTTTCTGTTTCTGTGGTACTGAGGAACTGAACCCAGGGCTTCATACATGCTAGGTAAGCAGTTTACCACTAAGCTACATTCTCAGCCCTAGATTATGAATCTTAAGGATGCTGTGCTATGAACATCCTGGCATGGATGCTAGCTTTCTATATTTTCTGTCAAGCATGAACAATTTCACTACTGCTCAGCCTACATTCCTACCTACCTGAATTCCTTGACTACCACAGTCAAGTGTATAAGAGATGGTATGTGCAAAGATCTGGGCAATGCAATGTGTCATTTCTCTGTTTAATTAATATTAATTAATTAATTTTAATTGTGAAAATACTGTACAGAGGGGTTACAATTACATGGGCAAGATAATGAATACATTTCTTATCAAGCATTGTAGCCTCCTCCCTTGTTTCCCCTTCCCATCCCATTCTCCCCCTCCCAACCCCCACAAGCCCTTCCCTCCCCACCACCAAAGTTGTTCACAAACAAGACCACACTAAAGCTACCAGCACGACTATGTTTATTGCAGCCTTATTTACCATAGCTAAGATATGGAACCAA